TTAGCCAGTTGATCATTTCGCCGCATTTGTGTATTTTTTTTCTATCGCCCCTCTGTGCTCACTTCCGGTAACATTTACCGTACTTATCGGAAGCGTTTCAACTCTATCTCTATCTCTCTTAATTTGTTTAATATGAATAACCTACATTTCCGTGAGAAACCTGTGTTAAATTTCTCTTCTCGAAACGCTGAAACGGGATAATTTTGTTTTTCTGCCCGAGAGTAGTCTACGTTAGTTTCGTCTTCCCAGTCATACAAAAAATCCGTGCTGTTTCCGTTGTGGATGATAGTTTACCCTGCTGTTGGTGATTGGAAGGATCATCTCCCGGATTTCCTGTGGTCGAGAAGCCATCGAAGCAGGTCTGACTGGGTCACAGTAGTGAGTTCTGCTCCATAACGATCTCTTTCGACTGTTTGCTATCCAGTCTTGTGTTTCAACAAGACTGCGTCCCGCCGCCCATTCTGTTTAATTAAGCCATTGACTGGATCCTCGGGAATGCCCTGCATGAAGAACACGGTGTTGAGCTTAAACCCGGATGCCGGCCGACTGATTTTACTTTACTAGCCTCAAGTGTTGACCTACAGTCTGTAGTGTCACGGGTGAATAAGATGGCTAGGTCAGCTGGCTTGTCCATAGATAGCGGGACGGATAAATTATTCTCGAGTTGCATCCTTGATCAGAAAAAGGTACCCCTGGGGATTGGTGGCCGTCAGTTTAAAGAAGTAGCCAGCTTTAAGTGCCTCGGGCGAGACTGCCACTAAATGGGCTGATCGATTTTTCTTCGTTCGTTGCTTGGTCCCGCGTGTGGATTTTTCGCCTAGCTCGATGACAATTAGCGTTGCGTTTCGTCTCCACCGTAGAAGATGCTGGTAATCCTGTTTTCCCTTCCGGTGGTTTCGGCACAGGGCCGTCACGCATCAACGCTGCGCGTGAACAATGTGTTATTGAAGGTTTTGGCGTAAACGCTTGTGACCGAGTAGGTTCGTTTGTGACTCTAGTATGTGCAGATAGATTGCTGTATCGCAAGGGGTGTGCTGCCTCACTGGAGGTTTACACGTACGCGCACGTATGGCCGAATACGCCCATACGAGTGAGTGAGTGATGGGTGTGTGCTAAGAATCCAGGCTCCTTGGTTCGCTGGCGCGTTAAAAAGGAAGGGCAAAATAGGAAATGTGTCCGTATTGCTGTGGTTGTTGGTGGCATCTTATCAAATAACACCTTAAGTGGCTAAGATGTGCCCTTTTCGGCATAAGGGGTTCCGCTCGTCATGACATGGGGCCGAAAACTTGGCATGGTTCCTGTAAGAACTACGTGCGCTGCTGTGCTGATGATGTTGATTGTGTATACATGTGTGATTATATCGATTCCTATGTGG